CGCGGTGCGAGCGTTCGGTGTACCGTTCTTCGCGCCCGCCCTGAATTCCCAGACACGAAAGTTTCGGCGCTTCGCCGATTAGCATCCCGATCCTGACGATCATTGTTGACGGCGAAGGGACCGCGCCTGGCTCCGGCTCTCTATTTTCATATGAAAAGAGAAAACGCCGCGACTGCTAAAATTGTACCGGCTTGACTGTGCGCCAACTTGCCTCGGCGAATATGCATCGCGACGGCCGACGGTATCGGTATCGGCACCGAGGCGCGTCGGCTTCATCGATTTTAGGAAGCTCGCGCGGCTCGAGATTTCCACGACGAATGTTCCGAGCTAACGAATACGCGCTTCTTTCTCCACGCGGAAGATTTATTGGGATAATTATACTTCCGCGTAAAGACGTGGTAGTTTGTCGTTCCTTCGCGACGTTATCTCAAGGTTATATAGTTTTTAAATACGTTAAAAATCGTGCTAAATAACGTGGAGAGGACGAGAGTGTCGCCGCGGTTCATCACTTATCCTAACATTTGTACCATTTTGGTCGAAAACTGGCTCTTAGTCGGAGTCTTCGGTTATTATTGCACAAGCGAGAAATGAGAGGTTCCCGAGGTCATTTGAAGCAACTTTTTCCTCAGCAAAAATGTTCTACGAGGCTTCGTTTACGAGTTATTAGCGAAAAACGTGGACCAACCGGAGAGCAAGCGCGGCCGTCGCTCCGCCCTTGTGGCCAGCGTCGCGTCGCGCCGGCCCTCTAGTGGACGCGAGGGCGGGGCGTCAGCCGTGCGCGATCCCACTGGCCACGGTTTTTCGTTAATAACTCGTGAACGAAGCGTCGTAGAACATTTCCGCAAAGGAGAAAGTTGCTTCAAGTGACCTCAGGAAGGAAATGCTTGGGACACCAAGCAGAGAATATTCCCAGCCGAAATTAACACAACTATTAAATTTCTCTCGCATCTCGTGTATCGTTTAGTTCGATGATCGGCGAACTCGTCAGTCAACAGAGCCAAATATCAATGGCTCGTACAATAATTTTAGGACATCCCGTAGGTCGTAGTGCTGTCCGAGGGTTCCCGCAGTTTATCCTATCGTGTTAGAGCGAAACCGTGTTACAGGATGCCGTGTTGCAGGCGGGCCGGCTGTATTCCTGCTCGAAAAATCGAGGCTCGTTTGTCGGGAAACGACGCGGCACATTCGCCGCACGTTCGAGGAACGAGCGTCGTTATCGCGTCGGGATGTACATGTGTCGTTCGAACGTGACGCTCGCACGGTGAAAGTTTCGCCAACGTGGAAAACTCCGACGACGATCGGTCGCGCGCGCGATTTCCTATGCGAATTCGTCGGCGTCGTTCGTCTCCGCGATCCATTCGTCTTTCCTCGGATCCGCCGATCGCGTTCGTTCGGTCTCGCGATCCATTCGTCTTCCCTCGGATCCCCGGATCGCGTTCGTTCGGCTTCGCGAGGATCGCCGTTCTCGAAGATCGCCTCGAAGCTCGATTCTCGGCTCGCGGTGCCACACGACCTCGATTCCATGGCACTCGAGAGCGAACGAACTTCTTTGTGCTTGTGCTTGTGCGCTGGAATGCCTGTAACTTTTGATATTCCTCGGTCGGAAACCGCCCGCGGCCGAGACCTCGCGTCCGTTCGATTCGACTCGATTCGATTTGGCTCGTCGTTCTTGACCGCGCGCAAAATCGACGGATCGAATCGGTCGGTTCGTTACCCAGAAATCGAGCGCCGGTTACTTAGAATCGCGCGCGGACGAGCCATTGTGATATCGTGCGCGATTGTGTGCGTCGCCGAGGAAAGTACGAAGCGCCGTTGGCGGCGCACGGAATCGAGAACTCCGCGAAGTTCCACGGTCGGCGGACATTCGGAGACCGTTCTCCGGTTCGGATCGGGTCGGATCGGATCGGATCGGATCGAGTTCCTTTTTCTGCCTCGATATCCATTAACCTCGACGAATGCAAATGGTCGCCGAGCAAAGGCCAGGCTCCCGTCGTTCCTCGAGCCATTCTAATCCGAAGCGAAAGTCTCTCCCGTCTCTTCCGTCTCTCTCTCTCTCTCTCTTTCTCTCTTTCTCTCTTTCTCTCTTTCTCTCTCCGCATTCGAACCTTTTCACCTCTTATATTTTCCTTCCGCTCGACCGTCATTTCTATATTTTCAGCGCGGTGCTCCGCGCGCGTTCCGCAGCCTCGACGGAGCCGACGAGAGCGGTCGAGGCTTCTTTCCGTCGCCGAAAGAAGCGATCGGCGATCGCGTTCGCGTCGAAGCGGCTCGTGCAAATAAATTAGCATGAATTTGCACGTGAGCGGCGGCGGCTCGTAATTTATTTAATTGGCGGTCGGCGATGTTTTCGCCGCTGAAAAAAGGCCGGGCCGGGCCGGTCCGTTCTCCTCGACCGTTCGCTAAGTTTTTATCGATGTTGTCCCGCGATTCCGATTTTCGTCCCGCGGTTTCGCCGACGCGGCGCGGCGCGGCGCGGAGCGTCGGTTTTTCTACGACGCGCATGTTCGCGTTTCTTCTGCCGTTCTGCCGTGAACACGGCCCCGACCGTCTCCGCCTGGTACGGGCTAATCAGAACTCGTTACGTAAAAGACACGCTGGGAAGTTGATTTTCCACTCGGCGACGCGCGCGCGCAAGAGAGAGAGAAAGAGAGAGAGAGACTCTTGAAACGCGGTTTCGGGGACGATCGACGATCGGCCGTCGATTTGGTAAGAAGGATCGATCCGCGGGTGTCCGTGGTCCGATTATCGGAAGAGCGACGACCGTTCGTGCACCGAATCCGAATCGCTGCTTGTCTTCCTCTCGCGGCTTGCTCGCCTTTTCGCTCACTTTTTCGCTCGCCTCTTCGCTTTGCTCGCTTTTTCGCTCGACTTTGCGCTTTGCTCGCTTTTTCGCTCGACTTTGCGCTTTGCTCGCCTTTTCGCTCTTCTCGCCTTCTCGCTTTGCTCGCCTTTTCGCTCTGCTCGCCTTTTTGCTTTGCTCGCATTTTCGTTCTGGTCGCCTTTTCGCTCTGTTCGCCTCTTCCCTCTGCTCGCCTTTTCGCTCTGCTCGCCTTTTCGCTCTGCTCGCCTTTTCGCTTTGCTCGCCTTTTCGCTCTGCTCGCCTCTTCACTCTGCTCGCTTTTCGCTTTGCTCGCCTTTTCGCTCTGCTCGCCTTTTCGCTTGCCTTTCCGCTCGCCTTTTCGTTCGCCTTTTCGCTTAGCTCGCCTTTCCGCTCGTCTCTTCGCTCGCCTTTCCGCCCATCTCTCCAAAACACAGGCCATTCGAACGCACAACGAACGCAACGCGAATTCGGCGGAACGGCGACTCAGGGCCCGATCGACTCTGAACTCGCGGAAAGACGAACGAACTTCCTTAGAGAAGGAAGAAGAGACCACCGCGTCGCAGTGTGCCCGTTCCCGGCGCGCACCGGCGCGGAAACGAGCGGGGCTCCCCGCGGATCCGTTGCGAAACGGGTTGTTTTTCCTGCAACGTCGGCGCGCGGCGAGGCATCGGGATCATTGAATCGGATCGCGAGCGGGTGTCCACGCAGGTGAATTCGAGCGTGAAGTCGGCAACAATGAGTGAAAGTCGCGCGTGCGCGAGCGAACGGCGAAAGCAAACGGTGTCGTCGTCGTCTTCGTCGTTCGTCGATGCCTCTATGCGTTGTAGTTCGAACAAGAGAACGTTTCTGCGCTCGCATCTGCGCGATCCTTCCTGCTGTTTTTCTCGCCGTCCGCTTCCGGAACGGCCGCGGCGACGAACAAGTAGCTCTGCTACAACACGGCGTCCTATTATATTATTCGTTATTATTTTAAGGTTGTTCAGTCTTTGAATATGTTAAACAGAAATCATGCTATCCAGGAAGTATAGTGTCCTACAAAGGCTTTCGCGATTTTCAGTTATTATTGTACAAGCGAGAGATGAGGAGTTCCTGAGATCATTTGGAGCAACTTTTTCCTCAGCGAAAATGTTCTACGAGGCTTCGTTCGCGAGTTATTAACGAAAAACACTGACCAATGAGGGGACGCGCGCGGCAGACGCCACGCCCTCGCGACCACTGCCGCTGCGTCAAGCGGTCGGCGCGACGCGGCATTGGCCGCATGGGCGGAGCGCCGGCCGCGCTCGCTCTCCGATTGGTCCACGTTCTTGCGACGAGGAAATTTAGGATGTCGCACAAAAGTGCGAATTAGGGAGACAATTTGAGTAGAGCAGATAGAGTTATTCGCGACTCATTTTTATAGTTGCCGATTGCCAACAATTATAGAAACGTATAAAACTTAATTAAACGTAATAAAAGCTTACGTATATAGTATAATAATATTATATATTATATAATATAATAAATTAATATCCGAGATATTATACAATATAATAAATTAATATGATATTATGCAATATAATAAATTAATATTCGAGATATTATACAATATAATAAATTAATATGATATTATATAATATAATAAATTAATATTCGAGATATTATATAGTACAATATGATAAATTAATATTCTAGATCATTATATACTACAATAAATTGATACAATATTACATAACATTTTCTCGAAAAGAACGTCGAATTCACCGATTCCTCGAGAACAATGAAAAAAACCTCGTCCGCGAATTAGGAAGAATTCACAGAACACGCGCGCGCGCGTACCTGCGACGAGGTTTACGCGAGCCGCCTGACTCATCGGGCGCGCGAGAGAATAATAGGTTAATCGTCGAGCGGCACACCACGGCCATCGAAGCTGACGCGTTTCGAAAGATTCCGAAACTCGCTTGGTGTCCGCCCCCGCGAGGCTGTCTTTTCAGGCCGTCGCGGCTCCGTCATCCTCGTTCGTTAGAGCAGCTCGTCCTCGCGTCGCGGCTCCCCGTGGCCCACGTCGCGTCGCTAGGTTGTCCGTCGCGAGGAGGAAGACGAAGAAGACGAAGAAGAAGTAGGTGGGGTATCGCCGTTCGTTGGTCGGTTTCGCCTCGAACATCCGAGCGAGCCAAGCCAGTCAACCTGAAACCGCGTGCAACCGCGATCAACCGCGCGGGGACAGCTCGTGCGTGTCTCTCTGGTCCGCGCGCGCGCGCGCTCTTCTCGCGCCGAGCCTTTCGCCGGGCGAGAATCGAGACCGCTTTTGACAACGGGACCACACGGGACACCGGTTTACAAATCGTCCGCGAGCTGGACGATCGCGAGACGATCGGGAGGTTCCTCTGATCCGGATCGCGGGTCGACGGTGCGCGGAGAATTCGAAGACAAGCGAAGACAATCGCGAGAACGGTTCGCGAGAGACGATCGTGTCTTCTTCCGCGAGGCCTCCGCCGCGAATTAGCATACTCGCCGAGGCGCCTAAGTAGGCGCGATACTTCGCAAAAGAGGCGACTTTCGGCAAAAGACGATTCACCGAAGAGCGTAGAATCGCGGCGCTTGGCGATCGGCGGCACCCAGGGATCCGCGGCGCCCCGCGAAATCGACCGAGGGCGCGAGTTGTCGCGGAAAAGCCAGCCGCGCGAGCGTGCGAGCAGCGGATCGGATGGAAAGCGAGCCAGCTCGCGTTTTAATATCGAAACCGCGACGGTGGAACGACGAAGGAGCGTGCGGTGTGTGTCCGGCCCGCCGGTGAAATCGAAGATGCGGCGAAAGCTCGATACGAAGTTCAAAGGATAGCAAAAGACCGGTGTGTGCGCCGCACGGTTTGCCTCCTAGCCGCACGGCTCGCTGGCCGGGTCTCTCTCTTTCTCTATCGAGCGTTTTGCTCTCGCGTTACAACCCGTGGAAAGTCAAAGTGAGGGAAGGGAAGGACACAAGAGGTGGCCCCGCGTCGCGACTTTCACGCCGTCCTCGCTGTTTCTGCTCGATCGCGTTGCGAGCGTAATCGCGGCCCGTTGCGCGAGTCTCTCCGCGAGTCTCCGGGCGCCAGCCGAGAGGAACGAGACGCTTTTCTGTGCCGCTTCTCGTGGAAACGCGAGCGAGCTCTCTGCGTTCGAACATCGAGCATTCGCGCGGATCCGCGAAAATCGAGGCGCGGCGACCGGGATATATAATCGAGTTCGCGCGGATCGGACCGGCCGGGAAGAGTGCGCGACGGCTCCCAGACGGGCCCAGGGGTCCCAATGTCGGGGCCAGGCACGGCCGAGGACCGCTCCGGGACCGAATCGTCCGGGAATCGGCGAGCAGCGGCCTCCGCTGATGAACGAGAGCTACATTTTTCGGGAGAAATCGAGACGAGCCGCCCGCTCCGACTCGCCTGGCCCCGCTTCGCCGAAATTCTGCTTCCCGAGGGGCCCGAAAGGACGAAGTCCGATAACGAGCCGCGCTCGCAGAGAATCGGCGAGATCGAGGAATAAAGCCGCAGCGTTTTTCCTTGTCGATCAAAGTCGAGCGACGTCGTTTCGAAGCGGAGAACGCGAAAAGGGGCCGAGAAGAAGATCGAAGGGAGAAAAGGAAATGGACGGTCTTGCGACGACGGAAGCGGCCGGTTCGCCGCGGAAAATGGCTCAAGGACCGCGGCCGTCGGTCCGCCGATTACTATATTGATATGATAATTCCGGTGATTATATTCGCGGCTCGTGCGTCACGGTGGCTCCGAGCGTCGTCGCAGCGCTCTCGGCTCGCGTCAATTCAGCGGCCGTCCGACGCGAGCAAATCCAATTAGTCGACGGCCGAACGCCGCGGAATTGCGCCGACCAGTGCCGCGGAGCGGTCGCCGATCGTCGTCGTCGTCCTCATCGTCGACGATCGTCGTCGTCGTCGTCGGTCGCCGCGGGACTACTTTTCCGAAACGGTTAACGGTGATCGCCGAGCGAGTTTCGCAGTGATTTTCTGGTGCGCGAAGTGTCCTGTGTCGGGGAAGGTCTGGTCGGAGACCTTGCCACGGTCTTTAGGGAGTTTCCCGAAGGTAAAACGGAACGGCGGAAGTTCGAGGTGTCCGATGGTTGCCGGTTGAAACGGTCGCGGCGACGATTTCTCCGTTCGCGACGTCGTTCCCGTTTGCGGCGCGTCGCAACGCGTGACCGAGAAGCGTGTGTTATTCGCGTCGGAATCGCATGCGCCGCGACGCGGTTCGCGTTGTCATCGGCGGGACGCGCAATTAGCGCCCCGCGTAATTGCACGGTGCCGAGCGCTCTCGGTGTCGGATTGCTGTTTTTTTTTTTATTTTATTTTTTTCGACGGTACGGAACTCGCGGAAGATTCGCGCTGGTTTCGGTTCCGGGGTTGAATTCCCGGTCGCGGCGTGCCCGGAATCGTCAACAGAGCGAATATCGAACGGTCAACAGCGATCGGTAAACAGTCAACAGGCATGCATTTCTCTGTCTCTCTTTCTCTCTGTTGCAAATAAACGCCGGCCGAGCGCGCATTGTTTCGCAATCGACGGCCATCGAGCCGGTCGCCGAGTCACGTTCTGCTGCTGTTGCTGTTGGCTGGTGTTCCTCGCGAGAAAAGAATATGCGAACAGCACAGAGCACGAGAAGAAATTCCGATCGAGAGGAAAAAAGGTTTCACCGTTTCACCGAAGTCGCGCCGCGCGAGGCTTTCGAATCTGCTTTTTAATTGGCCCGCGCAGTCGAATCGATTCGATTTCATTCGATTCGATGAGATTCGATTTTTGTATTCGTATTCGATCTTGTACGAGCGGTTTAGTCATCGCGTAGACTTCGTTTGTTTAGACGTTAATTAGCCGATCCCGTCCGTCGTAATTGAATTATGGTATTATTCAATTGTGTTGTGACTCGATTAAATTGTAATTCAATTACATTTTAATTCTATTACTTTGTGATTCAATTACTTTGTAATTTAATTGCTTTGTAATTCAATTGCTTTGTAATATAATTGCTTTGTGATTCAAGTGCTTTGTAATTCAATTGCTTTGTAATTTAATTGCTTTTTCATTCAATTGCTTTGTAATTTAATTGCTTTGTAATTCAATTACTTTGTAATTTAATTGCTTTGTAATTCAATTACTTTGTAATACAGTTACTTTGTAATTCAATTGCTTTGTAATTCAATTATATCAGATTTCAATTATATTACACTTCAATCATATTGTATTTCAATTATATCAGATTTCAATTACATTATACTTCAATCATATATCGTATTTCAATTATCTCGTATTTCAAATACATTATATTTCAATTATATTAGATTTCAAATACATTATATTTCAATTCTATTAGATTTCAAATACATTATATTTCAATTATAAATTGCACTGTCATAACACTCGCGACAAGAGCAATTATCAATTGAACAGACCGAAGCATCCGAATCACGTAATCGAGTTACAACGTAATCGAATCAGCACAACTCCGCCTTCGAATCGGGCCGCGGCGTTGTTCTCGGGCAGGCAGATCCTCTCGACCCGGTGCCTAATCGAAAAGAAACGTGTCCGGGCCGCACGTCCGGTCGCGAACGAAGAACGCAGCGCGTCGTTACGACGATCGATCGTCGCGTTATCTTCGAGCGCGAGTCGAGACTTCGAAACGCGCCTGTCCCCTGGTACGCGCTAAAAGGCTGCGCCCGTCGACAGCTAATTATCGATAGCCGAACGCGATAACTATGTTAACAGCGAGCCCGTAGCGGACACGTGGCAAAAGCGAACACAAGCGAGCGAGAGAACGACCGAACGAACGACCGAGCAACGCAGTAGTACGAATAGCGTCGCTGGGGTATACCGTTAACCGTGTGCAGTACCGTTCGCGGAGTGTCCCATGACGCGTTCGCGTGCACCTCCGCCTTTTCAATCGGGCGCATTAAAAAACGCGCGCTCGCCCGATCTCATCGAGAGCGGCTCTCCGGCTTGTCCGGAGCGCCGCGGAGTTGCCCGCGGGGGCAACGGATCGCGGCGTGGGCGTGGCCTCGCCGCGGCTCTCCGGGGCTTTTCCGAGTGGCCGCGTGGGCGTGGCCTCGCGGCTCTCCGGGGCTTTTCCGTGTAGCTCACGTCAGCGCGCCGCGGGGCAACGCCTGCGCCGAATAAACGCGCGATGACACGCGGCGAAAAGATCGCGGCGAGCCCGCGCTGTGTGTGACGCCATTATTCTTCGGCTTTTTCCTTGAGAAAACAGTCTTCCCCTCCCCCTCGGCCACAATGGACGGAGAGAACAATCGGGCTCCCGTACTTTCGTTTCGAGCGTTATTGCGCGCGATCGTTTACCGCTGAAACGCGCGGCTTCCTGTCGGCCATTACCATCGGCATCGGCATTATCATTAGTATTACCATTACCGTCGCCGTCATCGTTATTATTACTATTATAGGCTTGCCCGCATACCTAACCAATCTTTCGGCGTCATCCGGACTTTCGAATGGCCGGGCTCTCGCGGCTACAGCGAATTCTTCCTAATTGACGCACAAAAATTGACACGAAAATGTAGGTTTGCACAGGAATTCAGTTATATTGTGTTCCAATTATGGTGTATTTGAATTTTATTTCGATTAGGTTTCAGGCGTGTTATATTTCGATTGTATTTCGATTATATTTTGATTATAGTTCAAGTATATGTCCATTATATTTCAATTATATCGCATTTCGATTATATTTCAATTATATATCCATTATATTTCGATTATATCGTATTTCAATTATATTTCAATTATATCTCAATTATACCGTATTTCGATTGTATTTCAATTATATTTCAATTATATTTCAATTATATTTCAATTATATTTACATTATATTTCGATTATATTTCCATTATATTTCGATTATATTTCAGTTATATCGTGTTTCCATTATATTTCCATTATATTTCGATTATATTTCAGTTATATCGTGTTTCCATTATATTTCAATTATATTTCGATTATATTTCAATTATATCTCAATTATATCGTATTTCGATTATATTTCAATTATATTGTATTTTAATAACACTCACAATTAACCACGTAATTGCGTTACAATACAATCGAAGGTTGTACCTAAAAATGGACAATTCAGTTATTCATAATTGCCGATAGTCAACAACTATAAAAACGTATAAATATAACAAAAATAATCGTATCTCCTCTTCCCAAATTGTCCACTTTCGTGCACAATCCTCGTGTCAATTAGGGAGAATTTACTACAATTGGCAGTCTGATCAAGGGCAGGTTCCAATTTATAAAACTAAAATGATTTTTAGGATCTACAAATGTATCTCTACAATACGAATAATCGTAAATTAAAAAATCAATGATTTCCTATCCGCCATTTTGCCGGTTTCCATCCACCCAGCGTCAAGAAATTTGAAATCGTTGATTTCGACGATCCGCGACGTCTGCTTAAAATCGCCGAGGACCCGTCGCACTCGACGCGAATCCAAAGATCGTTCGCCCTGTATAAAAATTAATTACGCTCGCGAACGAACCGCATAAATCGGTCGCCACACAGTAACCGGACCCGCCGGTCCCGCGGCGGGTGCACAACCTGTTGTGCTCCCGACGAAAACATTTCCGCTCGCGCGTGTTTGTTCGCTGGCCGGCGATGCTGGGAAATTAGAAAACTTTTTCACCGGGCTCCGTAATTTCCGGCAGGCTGAACGGGAGCCGGCGTTCCGGCGACGCGGCGGAACGGGCGACGATCGAATGGAAAAACGAGCCGGCGCGGCGCGGAGAGCGTCGTCGCCTCGCGACGTGGCAGGCGAGCACAAAAAACCGCGAGAAAGATCTCCGGGGATCTCTGCGGATCTCCGGCGATCTCGAATCGTTCGGGATCGATCGTCGCATCAGCCGCGCCGCGATCGCAGAAGCGATTAGAGCCGGCGAAACGAGCGGATGACTCGGCGATGATCGTCGCGAGCCTTCGAGCGCTTCTTTAAGCTTTTCCCCGAGCGTTTCTCGATCTCTCGTTTTCGAGATACATCGGCCGCGATCTCGGCCGCCGTTCCGCCGATCTCGATCCAGCCATCGGAGCACTTTCGATTCGCGTTTTCCACGCCGAGCCGGCCGCCGCGGCGCGCCGCTTTCCTCCGCGCGGCCGAACGGCTCTCTCGACAGCCGCTCGGCGAGAAATGGCCGCGTGCAGAGATCGTTGCCGATCTAGGCGCATCGGTTACGCTGCTCCGTACACTGTATGCGCTTGTTTCTCGTCCGATAATCGAGTAAACCGACGAGTTAAGCGCGCTCGTTCCATCGCGGGCCGCTTTTTGGCAGAGTTCCCGCTCGCGGAAAGCTCCGGCTCGCGTGTCCTGGATATCCTCGCCGGTTGTTGTCGGGCTTGTCGCGTCGTTTCGCATTATTAAACGCGCGCGCCTTTGTTCGCCCGGCGAACATACTTGCCAGCAATACGTTGCATCCGGCGGTGCAACATATTCGCCGTTTGATCGGCGCGTCCCCGTCGGAACGCCCGTAATTTAGACGGCGTCGGACGGTGCCGGCAGAGAAAGCGGGAGAAAGGGACGACGGTTTCGACTTTGAAGTACTTTGGACGATCCTTTACGGGCGGATCCCTAAGCGCTTTGCTTGGCCCGGCGTTCGCCGACAGCCTCGACTGCGTTCGACGTTCCCGCATTTTCCTTTTCCCGCGGCCCGCGCAGCTCGCTTTCCACGGATACGACACGCGAAACGGGTACGCTCGCTGATATTCTGATTCTTTAGAGTCGGAACGCTTCTTTACCGTTATTCTTGATAAACGAAATAGCGAAGCGTTTCGCGACAAATATGGAGAGAAAAAGTTCTACTAGTTTCGACCACTTTTTACGCGCGACGAGTATACTCGTCGTGTCACGCAATACTGCGAGTTCTCCGTGACGAGTGTACTCGTCGTGACACAAAATGCTGACAATTCTCCGTGACGAGAATACTCGAAGTGACATAAAATACTGTTAATTCTCCGAGACGAATATACTCGTCGTGGCACAAGATACTGTCAATTCTCCATGACGAGTATACTCGTCGTGACACAAAATACTGACAAT